GCAGATAGAAACAATGGAAGAAACATTTTTCAGCATGCTTATTTGATCAGAGTGATGATTGCAAAGAGGTGATGTGTTGCAGGGGTATCTTTTTCAGCTGGGGAGGGAAGAGGGGGTTCATTTTTCTGGCTGCTGCTCTCAGAGTGTCCTGAGATAGTGACTTACAAAGAAAATGAAACACTTTGCATTCACAGTGTGATTTAAAAAACAAACAAAAATTAAAACCCCAGAGATACTGAGGATCTGAATCTAAACACCAAGTGAGAGCAGAGAACAGGATGTACCTCTCTTTTGGAGCAGAAGTTTTGCTTTCTGGTCAGGGAACATGTTTTGCTCATGGTAGCTTTGTGATTTATGTGGATCTCAGGGACACTGGCCAGATCAAAGTAGCATGTGCCACACAATCCTCCTATGTCATTTCTTTAATTATTATGAATTAAGGAAGTAGGCTAATGAAGTCTCATCCCCTAAAAATACATTAATTCACATTTAATTATCAGGTTTTAAAATGTTCTTCACCACCATTGGCCATAAGTCAGCCAGATAGCTAAACTAAACCTGGGAGAGCACAGGGGTCTCAAAGAATACAAATCTAAAACCAAGAGTAGGATAGGCATGAAAAATAAACCAAAGCATGAGCCAGTGAACAGCATATACACTTTGTTGTAGTTCAGAAAAGGACTTTTTTTTCCTATTGGGAAAGGAAGTGCAAACAGTTGATTTTGACATTATGTGTTCCTCTGAAACTACAATGAGACAGGAAGGAGGCACATCTCAGATGTCAAGAAGTTAAGCTTTAAGAGAAAACAATGTACTCATCTGTCTGTACCAAAGGCTTTTATTGAATTGGAGAGTAAACGCAAAGAGGAAACAGGTCTGGAAAAGACATGAGATGTTTCATTATTTTTTAAAAAAACCCCAAACATTTCTTGTGTAGCATGCAGGAAAGATCAATAAGGTTAGAAGAGTCTGTCTATCCCTATTTTGGGGGTCATTCATCCCTGAAGAAATACAATGCAGTATAAAGCACGCACAGGATTCAAAGATTTGAGATCTAATTATTGAATAAAGTAAGAGTCAGAACTAGTCTTGAAGACCTGCACAATTAGTCCACGGTAGTTTTGCTTCCTTTACCAGCCAGAGAGGCTGGAGCTACTGTTCATGCCTGGAACATAAGACTTTCTGGCATTTAAGGACAGCAAAGTCTTTCATGAGCTAAACTATCAGGAGCAAAATATATAGTATGGTTGAAAAGTACTGAGCTTCATGTTGTTCTGCTTGTCTCTGCAAACAGAGTCACTGTAGGCAGGTCACCTCTTTTAACCTTGGGAAGGCTATATTCTTGCAACACAGCTTTCTCTTGGCCATGAGAGGAGTGTGAAAAAATAACTATAAGGATTAGCTAGTGAATAGCACATCTTGTGTCTTTGTGGTTTAGGGAAAAAACTTCGTAACAGAAGCAGGGTTACACATCGAGTGGATTTTTGATTCTGCTGTACTCCTCAACAATGGAAGAAGATTAATAATACTCAAACATCAAAAGACTTAATTAGGTGTCACCCAGGCTTAAATGACAAATTGAAGTAATTTGTGTATGCTAAGAATTTATAGTGAGTTAGAAAGTAACTCTAGGCTCAATTATCCACAGGAACATTAAGAAACTGTGTTTGCGCAGCAAGGGACCCTCTCCCAGCAACATTTCGTGTTAGAGGCTTCAGAGCTCCCACACCTCAGCAAGAGAAGAAAAACAAGCTGCTCACCTGCTGGTTATACATAGGTGGAAACCCCCAGAACACATGTCCTGAGCTTCTGTGAGCCCAGTTGTCGTCAGTCACAGCCACGCAGACAGGAATAGCATTTCCATTCCTGGAAAAGTCACTGTCATCAGCTTTTCCCTTGCATATGGCATATGCCTTCCCAGGCAGTCTTTGCTACAGAGCCTTCCCGTGTAAAACATGTGTTTGACAAACAACTTCTCTTCTTGCAAAATTTCTAATAATGATTCTCCAAAACAACAACAAAACCACCAAACACAATTTGCTGAATTCATGTAAACATTGCACTTCACCCCACTCCGGCATTACTTTGCCTCCCTATGTCTTTCTGTTGAAGTTCCTTTACTGAAATCTTTATTAATGAGCCAAACCATAGTTAGTCTGAGTTCCTCCTGTTGTTGCCAGCCTGAATGATAGGGCAGTATCTCTTACCACTTAAGGGTCTTGCTGTAACCCAAGTAAATGTTAAACTTTCTTCAATTTACAGTGGCACTGCTCAATAGCACCTTCCCAGATTAAAGCACATGAAAGGCTAAACATCTGTTCATTGCCCAATGAAAGCTAATTGTCAGCCTACATCATATTGCTATGCCATCAACCAGCCAGTTAGCACTACTCCAAAACTCAAGTACTCTCATAGGGTAGAAGATTTAATACCTTGGCTGTTCAGCCTTAATAATGTGCAAATACTATTTTGTTGTTACTCGTTTCTGTGTTTTAAGCTAGCACAGGTTATCTGAACATATTTGTGTAAGTGAAAAGGTGATTCTATTTCTAATTATATCACTTCATATTTATTGATTAAATATTGCTTTTGGTAGGTATTAGCTTTATGCTTGTGCTTAGGAAGTAGTAAAGGTGACAGCTATGGTACGTGTTCTAAGGACTCTGGACCAAATTAATCATTTCTCTTGAGGTATTAGTGCTCTTTATGTTGGATAGGCTATCACCATATGTTTCTGGTATGGAGGGCATAAGTACCTGGTGAGTACCTTGTTCTGAAATACTGAAATTCCTGTATTATTCTGTGCAATGTATGATATCATGTTTACCATGGCTAAACAGTGTTTGGGACAACTTGGGTAGATAATTGTTATCTTTTCTGCTTACATTTCCTCTGCTTCACTTGCTAGGCATGTGCGTGACTAGCTGGAGTACTGCCTAAAGTTTCTGTATCAATGGATCTTGGTACAGATAGCTGCTGTCATTGCTGCAGTGCTTCTTGGCCGTGTCTCTGATCATTCCCTTGACACGACTGAATCTGTGATCTACAAGCTGTTGGGTTTGTCCTTTAATTTTACCTGGTAAACAAAAGCATGATGAATATGCTATATTTGAAGTTAGTTAAGTGAAACTGCTCATGTCCTGTGAAATGGGGGAGAAGGACAAGAAGTAGTGGGTGCAAACTGAAATGCAAGACATTTTGTTTAAACATAAGGCTTTTTTACTGTGAGGGTGGTCAAACACTGGAAGAGTTTGCCCAGAGAGGCTGTGGTGCCTCCATCCTTGGAGATACTCAAAGCCCAACTGGACGTAATCCTGAACTACTTGCTCTAGATGACCTGGCATGAGCAGGGTGGCAGGACTGTTAGCTGCAGCTTATCTCTGCTGCTCTGACACTGTCACAGCAACTCGAGCCATGCCAAATTAAGATGCTCAAGCCCAACATCTGGCTTGACAAGATTTTTCCGGAAATGGTTTACAGTGAATGAGAAAGAAACATGCTAAACTCTGGGGTATGCTGGAGCCCACTGAAAGCACAGGGGATTCTTTACACCTGCAGTGTCATTGCTCCTAATGTTTCTTCCAGTTTTGGGCTGCACATTCCCTTGACCCCTTTTTGGCACAGCATCCAGGTCCACCTCATGCAGACAATCCTCACTTACTGCTGATGCTTATCCGTGTTCTTTTGCCTTTAGGCCTTCTTTTTCTTTTTACTTTTCTCTTTTCTTTTCTTTTCTTTTCTTTTCTTTTCTTTTCTTTTCTTTTCTTTTCTTTTCTTTTCTTTTCTTTTCTTTTCTTTTCTTTTCTTTTCTTTTCTTTTCTTTTCTTTTCTTTTCTTTTCTTTTCTTTTCTTTTCTTTTCTTTTCTTTTCTTTTCTTTTCTTTTCTTTTCTTTTCTTTTCTTTTCTTTTCTTTTCTTTTCTTTTCTTTTTCTTCTCCTTCCATGTCCCCTTTCTTCTCCCCGCCCACCCCCCCCGGGAAAAAAAATATTGCAAAGCACCTCTGCTTTCTCACTTGCCCTCAAGAAGTAATTACAGCCCAAGGGCATATATTCATTTAAAACTCTTACACTGCTCAAACATTTTTTGAAAATTTGACACAGCCTCCCTGGACATAGGGTCTCATAAAATAAGTATTTTCTGGGCTTGTCAATATGGAGAGAAATATGTGACTCATGTAAAAAAAGATACTGTTAAAACTTAAACTGCTGCCTGAGTAACCAGCAGTCACCTACAAGACTAGGAGACTTGCTATACATTCTCTACTTGTCTTATTTACTAGCTGCATTAAATGAATGGGATAGTCTCAATGCAGGGCAGCTTTGCTGATTGTCACATATTTAATTAAAGTTAACTTTATTTGAGATGGTTCTTTCCTTGTAACTAAATCCAGAGGATAAAACTAAGCATCAGTGAACGCAATGGCAGGACTCCCACCAACTTAATTGGGATCAGGATTCTTCGCATGTTTGAAATACTTTCAAATTTTTAAAGCCTTTTCTAATAGTATACTGCGTGGAAAAGACTTAGACATTCATGAGGAATGTGGATTTTGGTAAATTGTGATAAATATTTTAGTTAACAGAAGAAAAAGGCTGAAAACTTTGAAATCTGTGCACAAATCCAGTTTTATTTCAGTTACCTTCTTCAGTAGCTATACAGAATACTTTGGAAACTGGACATTAGCTGAATTAAGTATGATTAGTCTTATTAAAACCCCAAATCTCTGCCCAATCAGTTTTGAAAATCATTGTGCATGAAGCATTTCGCTGCTCCTATTTAAAACAAGATCTGACAAATGAAATTGTAAAAAATAAAAAGTAAAAAATGCACAAAACTATCAAAATGGCCTAGAGCATTAAAACCTAAAAGTCTTAATTAAAAAAAAAAAAAAAAAAAAAAGAAAGAGCTGCTGTTAGTTGTATCTAGTGTACTACCCATAGGTACAAGTGACTGGAAGCTTAGAAGTTTATATAGTTATTAATTACATTGAGAGCATACATACACCTAGGCCTATTAAGTAGTGTCAGATGATGTTTAAAAACCCTATTTCTGATATTCTCAGTGTGGTATCAGAAGTGGAATTAAAAAGAGGTTAGAATCAGAAATCAAACTACTTAATTCTGACAGGAGCCTAAGAAAAGGCATCTAACCTCTGAAGTAGTTTATGGCACTAGTTAGCTTAGTGTCCCATAACCGGCATTTGCTCGGGGGGGAACTGTGGGTGGCCTGGAAGCTGTCCTAGTGTACTTCTATGTACAAGGTATAGAAATATAGCTGGCTGTCGGCCTTAGCCATGCAAGTCTTCTGTCCCTGGTTAAACATTCAGCAGGTCTTATGCAACTGTGTGCTGGTGCTTCTCAGTTGTTCTCCTGCGGCACCGCTGTTGCCTAAAAGGAAGGAGAAGAGGTTGCTTTCACCAGTTACCACTTACTTCATGACCTCAGCATGGGCCTTTATTCCCGGAGTAGCTCAGCACCTTAAAATACCTTGCGTATACACTGTCAGTACTCCTTGCCAGAGTGGTATAGAGGCCACCGTGCACCTGACAAAATCACCCTGTCCACTGGCTGTGTGTGACCATGAGCAAGCCCACAGCAGAAGGGACAGCTGAGGAGTGCTTCCTCCTTCAGGCTATCTTTTCTCCCCAGTACTCTGCTCTACTTCGTTTTGACAGAAACTCCTTGAAAGTCCAGCTTGGAAGACAGGCTGCAAAGAAAAAACACCTCCCCCAGCAGAATTCCTGGCAGCGGGAACTGATGTGCTGTGACAAAATCAGTTTTCCCTCAGTGAGCTTTTGGATCGGTGTTCTCATGGTTTGTGCCTGAACTTTGTAAACAGTTACTTCCATGGGCAAGTCTTTGGATATAATACAGACTAATTTAATTATTAGGCCTATATAACTTGTTATGTATTTACAGGAGATTTACTTAGTTAACACTTAATCATGGCCAGAAGCCACTAAGGATTTACGTGTGTGTTTTACCTGCAGAAAAATTTAAGACAAAGAGGAAGCACTGAATGTGCTTTAGCTAGGCAGATCTTCTCACTCATAAAGGATACACAAGTATAGTTTACATTACTTTCTTGGTGTTTTTAACTTACCTCCTACATCCTTTTGAGATCTGTTAAGTAGAAGAGAGTTTAATTTTCCAGTCAGCTTTCCAGAAACCCTCACTGAGACCAGGTTTTTGTAGCGTGAAGTCATTTCAGGCAGCTGGATGGCCCAGATTCGCTACCACCTTCTCGCTTACTGGAATTCCATTTACAGGAATTCATGAAAGAGACCCAATGATTAAGATTTGCCTTTCTCCTGTAAGCCAGATCCAGCTTCCCACAAAAGGTACAAACACTACCAGATGCTTACCAATCAGGGGTAGGAAAATAGACCAAGTCAAAACATCTAGTCTCGTTTGTTATCTTACATACTTCATATTCAATAAACGCTTAAAGAGAAAACAAGCAGACACTGATTTCTTGTGTGAATTTTGTTCAACATTTTTCCATGTTTATTTCCCTTTAAAATCTGAATTATGAATTTGAGTTTACTTTCTCAAGGACTTTTCAAACTCAGGAAGGTCAAAGTTTGTGTTTCAGCTGTTTTGTAAAGTTGCAATCCCGTAATGTGATAACCTTCAAAGAAATAATTTGCATGATACTTGCCAGTTATATAAAACTTTAACTGGATCATCCTAAGGGCTCACTCCAGGAAACTCCTGAGCACTGAATTTCTGCCTGCAGTGAAAGGTGAAATTCTTCTGTATCTAACAAAACCAAACAGTCTTCGAATCTCTGTGGCTGAACATCAATAATCTGTCTTTTCTCCCCATATGAGTAGTTTTGTTTCCCAATGCATGGAAGAGCACTAAAAGAAAGCCTATTAGACTCTCTCAGATGTCCCAGCTTGGTCTCCCAAAGCTGATCTCAAGATTTCTCTTATATCCAAATAAAATCTCATGCACTTGCTCAAAAATGCAGACAACAGCCAGCCACTCTACTCTCAAAGTGAGTCTTTCTGTGTCAAAGTTTTGATTTTAAAGAATTAAATATAACTTTATTAAAGAATTCTTTTCTTTACAGTAAGCTACAAGGTTTAAACTAACTGACTTGAAATGGGATGCTTTTTGGCACAACAGTTCAGGCAGGAAATGTTTCACATGACTGAAGCTGGCCAAAACAAGGTAGCTGCTTCAGAGTTTTCAATTGACTAGGTTGCATTTACCATCATTTGCTGCCTGAAGATGCTTAGCTAGTGACAAAATTCTCATTAACCCTCCTCTCTGCTGAGAACTGGTCTCCTGCTGATGAAGGGGAGGCAAACTAGAAAGCAGGGAACTCCACACGAGGGAAGTGCAAATCGAGTGCTATCTTGTACTTACACAGGGAGTCCTTTCTCCAAACTGGCTGTAGAAGGTCATCTTGACTTTGTGCTTGTGTCCGGTCCTCTGATCAAAGGTGTTACAGCTGTCGAAGGGTGGGCTGTACAAATGCAGGCTAACAGCAGACTCCGTGTGGCTTATGTTCTCCACACGGTGCAGGCCAATGGAGTCTACACCACCGAGGGCATGAAACAAGAGGTTGTGTTAGCGGCAAGATTTAATGAGATCTCAAATGCCTGGAAAAATGCTTTCTAAGCCAAAAATCATGAGCAAGCCAGTTAGGTATGCCTGCACTTTTGTGGGCAACAAGTAACTCAGTACAGGGAATTTGACTGCTGCTCTCTAATTCAGGAATCTCCCAGATTCCTAAATACACTGTTAATTCAAAATACATTATTGTCTTACACACTTCATGTAACTTCTGGATTATCTGCTACAGGATAAAGGCCAATAGAAATCCACAGAAACTTAAGGAAGGCCATACTGTCAGTAATTTCCTAGCTATCATTCCCAAAGGACTTCAAGGTTATTTACTTTCCTAGGGGATGCTGTTGTTATAGATGCTCCAGAAGCAGGAAGGTTTGCGTTTCTAAAAATTAGCAAGAATTTTTACAGGGAAAAAGCTTGGTAACAAGCTTGGTAACAAGGTTATCAGTCACATTAAAGGTCAGCTACATGTATTCGGGGCATGGACTTATGGACAGAGATATAGTTGTCCTCTACTGCAGGCATCTGTTTCCTAATTAATCCTTCCAATTTATTAGTTTGGAGAACAGGCTTTTTATTCGTCTGCTCTTTTGACTAAGGTGATAAATTACCAGTGACTGGCATATTTCCAACCTTAACTGAATAGTAAGCATTATTGAACATGTAATAAAACAAGGCACTCTCTGTTGCGTGGTTACTAATGAAGTAGTGGCACTTTCTGCAATGGCGGAGTAGAAATCCAGCTATTACATAAAAATGTAAGGTATGAAGAATCACATCCATGAATCAAACCATTTCCAATCTACACTAAAGTGGAATTTTTGAGTTACTTGGAAGAGACTTTGAATTTAAATTTATGACCCTGCTGTACAAATCAGGCCTTTGTACTTGAATAAATATGTTATATAATACCTAGACCTGTATTGTGCAACATAGGCATGATACCCCGAGAATCCTGAGTACACTCTTAACTCTCATATATTTGAAGTGTAAGCTCTAACTGCCATTAACATAGTTTATCTAAATAGAGGAGGTAGGGGGAAAGAAGTCCTAAATCTGCGTTTATCCAATGGGGGATTCAAATAAACTCTGTTTAGTGGGTTCTAACCTTAAAGTGCAAGAGCAACCAAGAAGCACACAATAGAAACATGAAGGTCACTCATTATTAAGGTAGTTAGGGCAATCAGCACACTGTCAGTGTTTTCCTTCTACTTATTTCACTTGTTTCTTGTAAACCAAAACATCTGTTATGAAACATGGCAGAGATCCAAACTGCCTCAGAGAACTGGATAACAAATTTGTTTAAAACAACCAAGGAAGCTTTGGATCAGATGCACACACGATGCAATTGCTTGCATCAGAAAGAACCACATAGGTAGGGAAACCTGACCTGAGTCTGAGAACCCACATCCCTGGCATGGGAGTATCAATGGACATGTCAAGCTCCTTCTTGCATTTCCTGTCCTATGGATTTTTGTGTTTTCACTTAGTATGGCATACCATCAACACAGGGCTGCAAAGCACTAGTCTTTCTTCCCCAACACCCTCACCCTGTCTTAGTCCATAACCCAACATGAGGCTGCCTCCAACTAGGGAGTTCCCAAGCTCAGCCCCACAAGGTGTGTGCGCTCCAGTTTTTAACTCATCACGCAAAAGGCAGGCAGCCCCTGACACTTTGCCTCTGTTCTGCTGAACTCATTGCTGTTCAGCATGGCGTGCCATGTCTGTCGTAGGATCGGAATACATTACACCCAGCTGGCCACTCCAGGATGGCCTCCAGTGTAGCACAACATGGTGATGGTTACAGATACGTGTAACAGCATAAATTTAGGTACCTAGGGATCCTTAGTGGTGGAGACTTGATCATCTCTCAGCATCTGTGCAGTCAGGTAATTTTTTTTTTTGTAGATTGGGTAGACTTGAGCATTTCAATTCTGCTGATGCTGCACTTCAGTGCTACAGTCTTTTGTTAATTGAGACCAGAAGTAGCACTGAGGATTGGGGCTTCTGGTCCTGTCTTGTCAGTTTATTCCATAGACAGCTTTTACATTTTTGGCCTAGGATTTCTATTACTGACCAAAAGGATTATATCTTTGAAAAAAATCTAAACTTTGGTTCACTTATTTCTCACAAAATACTATTTAAGGTCTATATTTACAAACAATTTCTGATAGTCATTAGGGACACAGTATTGAAGGCTGCTTGGTCTAGAGATACTCAGCATATTTAAGTATCAAGCAATTGCTGCAATGTCTTAAGATTGAGTTAAAAGTACTTGTTTCATTAAATCTAAATACAGGTTTGTGCAGAATCTAGAGAGTTATGCTCTTAAACTGTGCATAAAGCCAATAGTATTATATTGTTAAAGGCAGGAGAACAGAGAGCAGATGAACTCTTCTGTTAGGAATAATACTCATGGACAAGGTGTTGTCAAAACAAGCTTAATAGCTTACCATTAATGTAGGCACAGTGATTTTCCCTCAAAACTCGTTCAGATTTCTTAGTCATTTCACCATTCCCCTTTTTCTCAGGCCATCCAAACAGTGTCTCCTTTAGATTTCCCTGGAGGATCTTCATAAAGCAGTGTGAGTCAGTGTGATCATGGATGCTGCTATATATGTAAAAGAATAACCCAACTCAGTGTGATATACATATTTAATTTCATTTCAGTACAGCAAGTAGGACAGATGGCATAACATATTGTATCTGGACGTAGCCCTAGAATGAAATGCCATTGCACAAAAACCTTAGGGAAAAAAGATTCACCGTGACTAAGGTATGCCTACTTAAAACTGTTGTTTCAGAAACATATTGGCATAAGTTCATGTACAGCAGGACTTGGAGAAGAGTCAGGTATTGATCAGCCTATGACTTTGCCACAGAGAAATACAAAAGAATTCTGAAGGAGGACAGAAAAATTCTTCAGAACATAAAAGCTCTTGTGGGCCAAGAAACAAAATGACGCTTTCCACAGTGACCCCAAGGAGAGGCTGGTATAAACTTGCAAGTATACCTGACATTTGCAGATCCACTATGCTCGCTCCCAAAACATGGAAGAAATGAGCTACTTCTGCTTAATTTATATGGTCTCTTGACTGCTGGGATGCACAGGCACTTGTTGAAGAAAAAGTGCTGTATCTCTCACTCTGATAGTACTAAGTACAACCAGAAACAGTAAGCTGTTAATTTCACTAGTTTGGCAAAACATGAACAAAACAGCAGGATCTGATATGATTTGTCTGCTTGCTAGATCTGTCTCCTTGCTCCAAAGTACGTTGTAATTGCTACATTTGAAGACATATGGGCTAGATATGCAGTTTAGTTCTGGTTTTATTTTTTTTTAATTAGACACTAACTGTTACAGAAGTCAATGGCATTAGGACAAAGGGAGAGACCTCCACTCCTCAGGGGTGAGGGACAAGGGGGAATTTGACCCTCCCAGAAGTACAATGCTGCTGCATTTCAGTCAAAAACTTGGTACTTGTACATTACTGTTTTCAGTAAACAAACGTCAGAGTTTCTTACTGACTGAGATGCCAAGAGAGCAGAGTTTGCTCCAGGCACAGAACAGTTCACAAATGCCACGTTGTCACGCTCCTTCCACAAGCCGTGAGAACAATCTGATCCTCCTCATGTAGGAAGGAAAAACAACTTGTGGTCTCAATCTAGCTCTAGCAAATGCTCATCCAACTCAAACACAGTTTGACATAAATTATAGGCTTTGTGGGAATAGCCTGGAAGGAGTAGAGGTGGTGGGCTTGGTTCCTATATCCCTCTGACTATAACATCATGGCATCCCCTAGATAATACTATAAATGTTCAATTGCATGCTCAATTAAAACAAACAAAAACCCTGCCAACTCTGATATTTCCTTAAATTTTCTATTTATATGCAAGAACAATCAGTCAAAACCTGCAAGTTTTGTTATTCTATATTTTGTGAAAGACCCCCCAAGGGACAGATCCTGCCCTCACATTTGTAGGACTACAGAACACAGTGTACAGTCTGCATATACAACTCCAGAGGCCACATCAGCAGTGTGGTCCTTTTTGAGGGAGGAGATTGGATGTGTGACCCTAAAGAATGCCAAGTACTCCTGGAAAGGGGGTCCCTCCTCACAGCCCACAGTCCTAATTCGAACCTACTTTTCTCTTCGTGTCACAGACACAATGTTTAAACACCATGACAGAACAAAGACTACTTAAACTGCACTAAGTCCTGCTTCTGTAACCAAGTGTTGTACAGGTCAGTTGTACGCCCACAGGACCCACTGTATCTCTGGAACTAAAAGCTTCCTCTACAAAAAGGAAGCTTAGATTTGGTAGAAAAACAGAGCATTTTTACAAGAGTGATCTAAAAATGTCCACGAGGTACAAACTTGAAAAAAACTATAGCAAACATTCAGGACTGCTATACCAAGAGGAGCTCTGCACTGCTTAGTTTCCAGACACTTTCTGATAGCTCACTTAGGGCTGGTTATTTCTATGACAGTGAAAGATACAGTGGCTTTATATCTGTTTGCTAAAACCATAGTCTTTGAATACAAACCTGCCATGCCCTTCACCCCAGCACAAGATCATCAAGTTGAACTTTCCATTTCCGTTGTCCACAAGATTTCTGGTATACCTGAAATACAAAGTGTTTGCTTTTTACTGTACGGATATGCCTATAAAAGATAACACTATACAAACATATGTATGAAAGAAGGTTGTGACATATAGAAATCCTTTTTCTTCTTTTTCTTGAAAGCCAAGTTTTACATGGGGAAAAATAAAGTGGTTTTAGGCTCTTTTTTTTTTTTTTTTTTTTTGTAAGAGTTCTTTTTCTGGAAAGAAATTAAATTGACATATTTAATATTTTATAATCGTATTGCTTTTGAATTACGTAGATGATTGGAGTTTGAGAACTGTGAGTCTGAGACTAATGTGGTAGACAGGATCAAATCAAAATAGTTGTTGAATGAAGTCACTTCAGCAGCTGGCTTATAATTAGAAACAGAGGGCTGCAATGAAACAAGAAAAATACATGGTTACATTCTTCTGCAGCTCCTTTTCAGATATTCTTGGCTTTTCTTCTGTTACGCAGCACTCATTTGTACAACGCCAAAAAAACCAAAGAAATAAGATGTCAGGCTTTCCATACACAGTCCTTCTACTCTGTTCCTGAAAGTTCTATGTTTTGTACTGTAGCATTCATGTGTGGATAAATGACCTGTGGGGTAATTTCTGCCAGCATCTACTTCTAAACAAAGTTTATCAGAGCAAGATTCCTAAAAAAGATTTTTCATATGTGAAGTTATAGATGGGACAGAATAAGCTTCATCCTAAAGGCTTTTTATGCATACGTGTGTTCTAAACTGTGATTTGCTGTCAGGGCTTGGAAACGTCTTTAATAGCAACACCTCATATTTGTTTCCTTGTACTATCCTGCAAGCCTCCCCTGAGCTGCTGCTCATCTTGTCACATTGAAAAGTTCACTAAGGAAGGGACTGGGATTTTGCTCTGTACATTACTTTCCATACGAGGCCCTTCTGATCTGGGGTTGTTGCTTCCAGCTATCATGGTGCAAGTAACGTAGTGGGATGTCCTGGTTTCATTTTAGCTCTAGTCATGACTATTCACTCTTTGCCAAGTAAAGCAAGTATTTATGCCAATGACAGGATGCCTCACTCTCGCCTAAAAGATGCAAGCAGGGGCACACAGAAAGTGCACTGATATCAACCAAATGTTTTTTCATTAGTTTCCCCATAAAACTACTCTATTTAAATCAAGGTAGGATGCTCATAACAAATTACTTGCATCCACAATTTGTGCATATATTGGATAGAAATATTTTTCTGATGATGCCAGAACATAAGCAATCAATGCTGGCACTTCACAAAACTTTTCAAGTGTTATTATTTCTGTACAGCAGGTCTGGCTGGCCAAAAAAAAAAAAAAAAAAAAAGGCTGCCATGCATACTTCCGATGTTAGCACACTTTGTTTTTCCAATTCTTAGTTTCTTATGTTCTGTTACAAATTTTGTGATTTGTTCTGAATGGCAGGTAATCACCACGAGGTGAAAGGAGGTTAAAAAACAATCAAGCCAGAGTGATGCTTTCATGATAGCAAGGTTAAAAAGAAAAGTTTTGGGGTTGGGGGGGGGGGCAGTTGTTTGTTTTTTAAAAGAAATGCTCAAATAAAATGCATTTATATTGAAATTTAAGACAGGGACATCACCAATGGCAGGGAAAAGTTAGTTGTTAACAAAATAGGAGTGACTTAAAACCCTGACGAGTATTTTCCTTCCAACTGGCAAACAGCAAAAAGTCTCGACCA